ATTTGGTAGGAGTCGTCTTGCACGGAGTAGGAGCTAAGTGTTTGGTGAAAGAACAAAGAAATAATTGAGTTGCTTAATATAGTGAAAAAGTCTTTCTTGTGATGAAATATTTAGCTCCCAACTAATGGAATCATTCAAGAAGTAGGTACAGATAGTATTCTAGGTTTGGAAGTAAGAGGTTGTACTAGGTAGTTTCTGAGGTCTCTTTCTACCTTAAGTCATGAAAACTGACACTGTTGAGTGACTATAATAACTCAGTGAAGACTTCTTTTTTCTTTTTAAAGGAAAAAAAAAAAAGAAACAGATGCGTGGACTTGTCCAGTGACGGCTAGTAAGTGGCAGAGCCAGATTTAAACTTAGATCTTTCCAGCTCCAAAGCCTCACTACTTTGCATACAGAAGTACTGTTGTGCACACATATATATTTGCTTATGTCAGATTTCTTCAGGGGAATATATATCATAGTGAACCTGATAGCTTTTATGGTAGCTACTGTATAGTAAGCCTTTAACATTTTGAAGAAATATATCTTAAGGCCTTTTTGAATCTCTGAATTTAGAAATACTACAAAAACACAGTTTCTTCAAAAGGTACAATGATATAAAACAAACATTTAATGGCCCCTTCAAACTCTCCTTTAGACGTAATGTGTAGTTATTGTGGAGAAGTAGAGATCAACATATTACATTAAATCAGTAATTGCCACTGCAAATGAGAAGCTTCTACTGAATATCCTTATGACTTACAGATTTATAGAGCTGGGAAGGGCTTTAGTTAGTACTTAGTTCAGTACACCTTTAGTTAAAGTATTGGGCTGCTAACCCAAAGGTCTGTAGTTAGAACACATGAGCCTCTCCATGAGAGAAAGATGAGGCAGCCTGCTTTTGCAAAGATGCACAGCCTTGGAAACCCTATGGAGGTTCCTATGAGTTGGAATTAACTGAGTGGCAGTGGGTTTGGGTTTGGTTTACAGACAAATAGTTTACTAAAGGCTGAATTGTCTTATTTTACTTTCTGAAAATTTAAATACTCTAAATTGGAAATTAAACATTAAATGATTTTTTTTTCTTTATGTGGGCATGGCAGGGACTGATTCCGTAGGGTTGGAAGAGTGTTTAGAATAATTATGCCATTTTTATAGTTTTCCTTTTGTACTTATAGACTAAGACTTAACTTTTTGAAATTTGGTTTTAGTTTATGATGGTGATAATCTTATATATTATTCAGATCAAATTTTAAAAATTTCTTAATGTTATCTGTTTCTTCTCTTAAGAATAAGCCAATTACTTATTTTTATAAGACTGTCAGTAACATGAAATGAAACACCCACCAAAATTTGCAGTGAAATTTGTAACCCATCTGTAAAATTAGAGAAGCTTAGTGCTCCTCTAATGATAATAATAATAAAGTTTCTGTTTGTCTGTAAGGTAAAGAAGTACTTTTTTTGTTTTGTTTTAATGGTTGACAGTTTAGGAACTGTCTGTGTGACTTGACTGATGTTTTTTCACCCTCCTGTGTGACACTATTGTTTGACTATACTTGATTTTCCACGCCTCATGACTCAGGGAAAGCTTGCACTGGATGAGCTCAGCTCTCTGTGCCATTCATCAGGGTTATGGATTGTAAAAGCTGCCATTTCCATGAAAACTGCACGCTTTTCCTTGGTGCCCAGCCTTATGTGTGATGGAGCTCTAGAAGGCAGTCCCTGAGGTCTCATGGGGTCCTGCAGCAGCCAAAGCATGCAGAACTCAAGAAAGGGGAGAAAGGTGATTATTAGAATATACACATATGCTGACCAGGACAGGAAGTGAATTTCACCCTCCTGGCAGAGGTGAATGGAATTCAGAAAAGTACAGGATAGATCTTTGTAATTTGTAAGCATGATTCAGTTAGCAAAGACTTGATTGTTTATTTTGTAGAAAAGCTAAGTGTGACTTGATTTGGTTAGTAATATTATAGAAATTGTCATTAGCAGTTATTTAAAAAGAACGTTTATGACTAGTAGTTGAAATTAAGCAGCTTAACTATTGTAGTACATTTAGCTTTTTGGCAAAAGGTTCTTTGTAGTTGTTTTTGATGGATTCTTATGGGAAGCTTTTGTATCTTACTTGATTTTTCTCCATATTTATTAGTGATGTTTTCTAGCAGTTATAATTTACCTTTCTATTATCACATAGGAGCTGTTCTGCTGCTTTTTGAAAAATAGATATATAAGGTTTCCACGCATGCTTTAAGCAGTGTTGCTAAGTAAATGATATTTGTAATTAAGAAACTAAATCAGAGTTTCTACCTTTGTTTTAACATTCGTGAAGGAGTTTACTGATACATCTGTGACAGGTTTTATTTATTTTAAATTCAAAGCCCCTTTATACTTGGCTTGCTTTTCACATTTATGGTTTGAAGGATAAGATCAAGTTTAAAGCCTAATGCTCTGATGATGGAGTAACTAGTGTCACACTATGTTCTCTGTCTACCCAGTCCTTTGACATTTGTGTTTAAATGAGTATTTCTTAGAAGGAAGACATTATAATCTTAGGGTCAGCATCCAAATTTCCCAACAAAAGAATGAACTCCCTGAGTGGTCCCGCCTCCCTCTGGCTTGCTCTACCAGTCTTCTTAAATGAATAGATCTATTCAGAGACTAAACTAGAGTTCAGTGTCACCAGTGAAAGAACCTCTGATTTTTTTTTTTTCATTTAAATAGTTCAGTATGTAAGTTATTTAATCAGGTTTGCATTTCTGAATGACTGTACTTTCTCCTCAGAGTTTATAGAAAACAGTAGTGAACAGAATAATTCATGTTACATTTATTAATGCTGAAATGTAAATTTAGCTTAATGATTACTTTTTTTTCTTAAATATTTAACTTACGTGGCTTCTGGAGTGTTAAGAATCATAAGAAGAAAAGTGAGCACATTTGATGATTTTATTCTCTATAATTTCTTTTGAATGATTAAATTATGATGATTTGTTAGTTTTAGAAGATAAATAGCACGTCTTGGTGCATGTGGTAGATGCTCAGAAAATACAGGAGATATGCATTTTTGATGAAAAAAACTTACTGTCCAACATAAGTTGATTTAATCCCATGGTGTGAGGAAGGGGTTTTCTTTAACACCAAGTCCTATAGGTATTGTAAGTCCTTTGTGAAACCTGGAGAAAGCAATGTGGTATAGTAGAATGCCAGAAAGATGTAGATTCTCTCGGTTTCACTATTTGTTAGCTGTATGATTTTGGAGAAGTTACTTAAGCTTTAGATTTTCATCTGTAAAATGAAAAAAAAATCTGCAAAAAATTTTGCAAGGATTAGATTTAGTATTTACAGAGCATCTTGTATGTTGTATTGTTGTTAATTACTATCAAGTCAATTTTAACTCCTCATGACCCCATGTATAACAGAGAAGGACTGTTCTATAGGGTTCTTGGCTGTAATCTTTACAGAAACAAATCACTAGACCTTTTCTTCTATGGTAGCACTGGGTGGGTTCAAACTGCCAACTGCCACTGAGTCGATTTCTACTTATAGCAGCCCTAAAGGACAGAGTAGAACTGCCCCATAGGGTTCTCAAGGCTATAAACCTTTATGGAAGTAGACTGCACATCTTTTGACCATGGAGTGGCTGGTAGGTTCAGTCTTGTAGTTGGCACCTGACTGCTTTGACCACTGCACCAGTGTTCCTTGAGAGTATAGTAAACATCAGTAATTGGTAGCTTGATTTACTGAATCATTTTAAAAACTAAACTTTTATGTCTGGGCTCTATATGGAAGCCATGGCTGTTTTCTTGTTCTGAACTATGAAGTGACTTTACTCAATGGTTATTGATTAAAAGAAGTTTATATTTTATTTCAACTCCTTTGTATTTTATATTTCTTTGTCAGCTTTTGGTAGTTAACTGATTTTGGCTAAATTCACTACAACAATATAGGTTATCAAGAAATATTTTAAGGTTGATTTATATATTTTTTGCTGTCTTCTAACAAAATAGTGGCTATTAAAATATTGGTAGACCTTTAGTTTTTAGAAAGTGTAGTACGTAGGATGATTTGAGACTCTGACATTATCTAATGAATGTCTATAGTTTCAAGAAAATGATTTAGATTTGCTAGATACAGTCTAAAGAGTAAACTCCATGTTTTTAAAATGCATGCATTTTAAGGGTACATTTCATTGAGCCACCACAAATGTTGGATGTATCTATATAATACCTGAATCAAAATATAGAACATGTTCATCTTCCCAGAAATTTTTCTCATGGCTCTTTGCCCATTGTCACAACCTGTTTGCTGATTTCTATCATCATAGATTAGTTTTCCTATTCTTGGACTTAATATAAATGGAATTACACAGGACGTACTTTTCTGTGAATGACTTCTTTCGCATGACAGTGCTTTACAGATTCATCTGTGCTGTTGTGATTATTGGTGGTTCCTTCATTTTCACAAAGTAGTATAGACTTCATGTTTTTAAAAGTAAAAGATAACTTTAAAATTACATTGACTAAAGTGGTCTTTATCCAAATAGATTTGGCATCACTTCTCTGGTAATGGGATTAATTGTAGATATACTTATTTAATAATATAGATGACAGTAAGATAAGGTAAGGAGCTATGGTAGCATAGTGCCTAAGGCACTTGACTGCTGACCAGAAGGCTGGCGGTTCAAACCCACCAACCACTCCTCAGAAGGAAGGTTGGGCAATCTAATCCCGTAGTGATACCGCCTTGGAAACCCAAGGAGGGATCGCTGTGACTGGAGGCTGGCTTGACAGCACATAACAACAACAACAAGATAAGGTAAGTTGTACAGGCTTTAGTAATAATTCATTACTTGGATTTAGTAGTTAATAGCTTGAGAATCAAAGGTAGTGAAGATTTCAAAAACATTAGCATAATGTAGAAAAAATAATATAAATTGAACACTGATAAACTTTCCAGAGTTCATAAATTGTAATATATTTGATGGTTTTGAAATGTCAAATAACACTTTTTCATTATTGTAGGTGCTACAGAATATTTTAGAAACAGAAAATGAATATTCTAAAGAACTACAGACTGTGCTTTCAACTTATCTACGACCATTACAGACCAGTGAAAAGTAAGTTAGATGATAAATTGCTTGAACTTAAAATAGTCATCGTCTTAGGTGGTTCATTTTCTTTTTCAGGAAACAGAGGGTAAAGTAATTAAATGGAATTCATTATACAAGGTTTCCATAGACATAAGCAACTAGTTTATTAGTTTAAGCCTTCAAGTAGGGCATTAGTGTAGAACAGGAAAGGGTATAAATAAAATGTTTATGTATTTTTTTTTTTCTGTTATTTTTCTTGGCTCTAGGTTAAGTTCAGCAAACACTTCATATTTAATGGGAAATCTAGAAGAAATATGTTCTTTTCAGCAAATGCTTGTACAGTCTTTAGAAGAGTGCACCAAGTAAGTATGATGATAACCTGCAAAATTCAGATTGGCACAATTGGTATTTAAAGGATACAGTTAAAAATAATTTTCGAATTCACATTTCTGCAGATGGAAACTGAGTTATTTTGAATCTTTAGGGTAGATCAGCTTTTATAGTAAAAGCAAAGTTTAGGGTATCCGTTGTTTGTAGTACTGAAAGAGTACAAAGGACTGATCCACCGGCTGTTCAGAGAAAGGGGAAAGGCTTCCGAGGAATGGTAACTTTTTTTTTTTTTACTGTGTTCCATGCAGAAAAAGAAAAATAGCCTTCCAAAGAAGAAACAAGAATAGCATATGATGGAGATACCAAAGCTTTCTCTGTTACATGCCTGCAGTAAGGAAGCACACATGCTTCCTTAAAGACGGCATTTCTACATACATCCTTGAAAGCTGTGTCTTTCCAGCATATTCTTCTAGCATAGTTATAATTCAAGAAGCTGATTAATTGTAAATAACCACATACATATAACATACTATTCTGATGTATCTGGGGACTTACTTTTGCCACTTTTCCAAGATATATATTTATTTTATTTTTTATTTTAAGAGCTAGTTTTACATTCAACATAACACATACATTTAGTTTCATTCCCCATTCGCCATGCCCAACCCTAACCCAATCTCCTCCCCTGCCTACCCTGCAACCTTCCCCCTGTGCCCCTCATAATTATGCACTCCTGTTTGTCCTGCATTTCCTCAGTTTGAATGCTGGTCCTCTGGTATCCCATGGTCTGTTGCTTTAAGGAATGTATTACCATTGAGTGGGTGGGTGCGTCATCCTGGGTTGAGTGGTCTGCATGTACATCTTGTTAACTATTGGCCTGAGAGCCTGCCCCTGGGGGTGAGTTTTATTCCAGGTGCAGAATGTATCCCAGGGCCATGGTATTGGGAGTCTCACCAGATTTCATCTGACCAGTAATTCTGGTCATTATTGAGTTTTTGGATTATGTTCCACGTTTTCCCTTCCACTCTATCTAGGATCTCCAGATTTGATCCTTTCCTGGGTGGTTGGCATTAGTAGCGGGCACCATCCAGTTCTTCTGGTCTCGAGGGCCATCGTGTCCTAGGGCTGATTGCCTCTAAATGCCCTTGGTTTTTTTTTTTTTTTTTGCGTTCTTCTTCACTTCCGACACTCGGAGACCATTAGCTGCATCTTAGATGGCTGCTTGAAAGCTTTTAAGACCCCAGTCGCTACTCACCAATGTAGGATGTGGAGAAACGCTTTTATGTATTTTGGTGTCCCCCAGTGCTATGGTCCTGTGGTAGTAGATCTATTGGATCTCTCTCCCATAGTGTTGGAATGTCTGTGAGGGATTACTCTGTGTTTGTCTTCTATTGTTTCTGTAAGGACTGCAGGTATTTTATATCAGTGGTGTCTGTGCAAGATTAGCCTCAGCTGAATCTATCCTTGGTCTAGGGTATACCTCTGTTCACTGACCCCTGTCTGATCATCTCAGGTGTGTATGTGTTTATCTGTATAGCCTGGTGTTTGGTGTTAATGGCAATGTGACATTGTGGACACATTGGTTGGTACTAGCATCTGTCATGTATCTCATATGTGCACAATTCAGTGTCCTCTCATTTCCCGATGTTATTATGGTGGTCATATATCCTTCCCGTATATCCTTCCCCCTACCCATGTCAGCGTGTAAGCCCCAACTAACTCAAAATTAATCCCTTCCCATCCCAGTAACCTACTAGGTTCCCTTTCCCAAGCAAACCCTTCTCTGTCTTTTTACAGTAATGGGCTCATATAGTACTTGTCCTTCTGTGATTTGACTTTCACTCAGCATAATGTCCTCCAGGTTCATCCACGTTGCGAGATGATTTGTGTATCCCTCATTGTTCTTTAATGTGGCATAGTATTCCATTGTGTGGCTATACCATAATTTGGTTATCCACTAATCCATTGATGGGCATTTAGGTTGTTTCCATCTCTTTGCTATGGTGAATTGTGCTGCGATGAACATAGGTGTACATATGTCTGTTTGTGCGCTATGTCTCACCTCTTTAGGGTATATTCTTAGTAATAGAATTGCTGGATCAAATGGTACTTCCATTTTCAGTTTTTTAAGGAAATGCCATACCAATTGCCACAATGGTTGTACCATTTGATAATCTCACCAGCGGTGCACAAGAGTTCCAATCTCTCCACAACCTGGCTATCATTTGTTACTATCTGATCTGTTGAACTTTGCTATTATTGCTGGGGTGAGATGAATTCACTTGAACAGACACTTCACCAAAGAAGATATACAAGCAGCCAACAAACACATGAGAAATTGCTCACAGTCATTAATCATTGTTGCTATCGTTGTTATGTGCCTTCGAGTCAGACCCGACTCATAGCGACCCCTCCTTGGGTTTCCGAGGCAGTATCACTACGGAAGTAGATTGCCCCATCTTCCTTCCGAGGAGTGGCTGGTGGGTTTGAACCGCTAGCCTTCTGGTTAGCAGTCAGGTGCCTTAGGCACTTTGCTACCAGAGATCCTCATTAATCATTAGAGAGATGCAAATCAAAACAACAATGAGATATCATATCATCTCACTCCAAGATATTTTTAGTGGAGTTGGGGGGGCCTGTACTTGATGGTCACCAGTTTATTCTGTGTGACTTTTTTTTAATCTTCTTTGTTACCATTAGATACTAAGGAAAATTTACTTTTTTGAGTACCTGCTAGGTGTTGGATGACTTAAAACAATAATGCATATGAAAAGTTTTAAATTGTAGTTTTTCATTGATCAGATTATATTAGATGTTTATTTATTTGTGGATTTGAGAAAAGAAAGCAACACATTATTTTTAAAATATCTTTGATCTTTATTTCTACAACTCTAACCATGTCAGTAAGTGAAGAGTGGGTGTAGTTGTTTCCCTGCCTGCTTTATAAATTTGGTCTTTATTCATGGTTTTTAGCAGTTTGACCATGAGAAGCCTAGTCGTGGTTATCTTTGTATTTATCCTGGTTAGAGTACAGTTAGTCACTTCTTAAACCTCTAATTTTTTTTTTTTTTTTTTTACTAAATTTGGGAAATTTTTGGTCATCATTTCTTCTCTGCTTTACTCTTTTTCTGGGACTCCAATTATATATTTATTAGACCTTTTGATACTATCCTACTGGTCTCTAAGGTTCTGTTCATTTTTTCATTCTGTTTTTCTACTCTCGTGTGCAAATTGAATAATCTCTGTTGCTGTGTTGTCAGGTGTGTACTGCCTGCCTCATTCTTCTGTCATCCCTATGTAGTAATTTTTAAATGTGAGACATTGCATTTTTGAGTTCTAAAATTTCTATTTCATTCTCTCTTTTGAATAGTTTATGTCTTTGTTATTGAGGTTTCCTGTTTGTTCATTTCCTGTAAGCATATTTTATTTTCTTTGGTTATAATTTTAATACCTGTTTTAAAATCCTTGTCTGCTGATTCCAACATCTAGTTCTTTCTGAAGGTTGATTTCCATTTATTATCTTTTGTTATGAGAATAGGTCATCACCAGCCACTCCTCGAAATGAAGGTTGGACATTCTACTTCCTCCATAGTCATACCTCCTGAGAAACCCAAGGAGGGTTCGCTGAGTCAGGGCAGATTTGACTGCACATAACAACAGCAACAAGGACAACAAAACAAAAAAAAACTCACTGCCATCCGGTCGGCAGTCCGACTCAAAGTGACCCTTCCTTGGGTTTCCAAGGCCATATCACTACAGAAATAAATTGCCTAGTCTTCCTTCCAAGGAGTGGCTGGTGGGTTTGAATCACCAGCCTTCTGGTTAGCAGTCCAGTGCCGTAGGCACTATACCACCAGAGCTCCTACCTTATGCCTAGAATTCTTTTATAGCAAATAAGTTTTTCCAAGAATTCTTTTATCCTACAAAAAAAATGTCTTTTCTTGTGCTTATGATTGCCATTAATTCTTTTGCCATAAAGAGTGCTTCTTAGTGTAGTTCCCTTGCGTGGGTCCTTGTACAGGTCTGTGGAGGGAACATGTGCATGTTTTCTGCTAAATATTTGGGAATAGGTCTGAATGTAAGTCAGTGGGAAACACTTTTTAAAAATGATATTTATATGTTTTTTATAACTGTGAAAGGAATTACAGACTCATGAAGTATTTGGAAACTACAGAATATTACAAGGCAGAAAATTAAAATCACCAATAACCTTTTCATCCAGGGATAATTACTGTTAATACTTACTTTCACTCTTTTAATCTTTGCTTTATAGGAAAACACATGCATAATTGAAACCAAGATTTATAGTCTGCTTTTTTCACTTAGGCAGTGAGTTAAATTGATTTAAGACTCTTTATATGCTAGGTGTGAACAGGTATGAACAAAATATGATCTCAAAGAAAAATGCTCCAAAAGAGAGCTGTAGAGTATTCTTACCACTTTAATGTCACTAGGAGATTTTCTAAAATACCATTTTATGTTGCTGTTATGTGTCATCAAATCGGATCCGACTCATAGCAATCCCTCCTTGGGTTTCCAAGGTGGTATTACTTTGGAAGTAGATTGCCCGACCTTCCTTCCAAGGAGTGGCTGGTGGGTTTGAACTGCCAGCCTTCTGGTTAGCAGTCAAGTGCCTTAGGCACTACACTACCGGACATTTTATAGGTATCTAATTTTTTTCTATGGCTATACCATTTTCAGCTATTACTTAATATTTAGACACATTTTAATTTGCTTTGATAAGTCTTAATATAAAAAATTGTGTAACTTCCTGTATATAATTCTTTTAATATATTCTAGCCATTCTCAGTATTTTAGATATATTAACTTATTTAATCCTTTAAAAGACTGAATTAAATAGGTATTTAAAGAAAAAAAAAACCTTAAAGTAGGCATTTAAAGATGAGAACATGAAGTTGAGTAACTTGCCCATTGTAACACAGCTAGTAACTGGTAGATTCATATTTGGATCCCAGTGGTCTAAATCAAGAACTTATAGATAGCCAGTCATTACCCCATACAAGCTCCAGTT